TCTAGCACGACCGGTAGCTCCAGTACCGCTAGCAGCTCCAGCAGTACCTCCAGCAGCCCCAGCAGCACCCCCAGTCCCAGCAACTCCAGAACCGCCAGATTGAGCCCCTCCGGGACCAGCAGCAACAGTAGTACCTCCAGCTCCAGCAGCACGACTCCAGCGCCGGGCAAACCACTCGCGCAGCTCCTGTGGAGAGAGTGGCTCCCGCCTCGACGAAGCACCGCCGGCGGCCACACGAGCAGACCCAGCACCCCCAGGCTCCGCACCCCCAGGCTCCGCACCCCAAGGCTCCGCACCCCCAGGCTCCGCACCCCCAGGCTCAGCACCCCAAGGCTCAGCACCCACAGACTCAGCACCCCCAGGCTCAGCACCCCCAAACTCAGCACCCCCAGGCTTAGCACCCCCAGACTCAGCACCCCCAGGCTCGGCACCCCCAGACTCAGCACCTCCAGACCCGGCACCTGCAGGCTCAGCAGCTCTAACAGCACCAGAGTCAATAGCTACCTCGACAGGCTCGACTGCGTCTTCCTGGGACACACCTAACGGGGCAGGAACCTGAGGAGGAAGGGGGTCTACCGAGGGAGGACCTGGCGCAAGGAAGAGCGACGGCGGGGGAAGGGGCGCAGTGCGGTAGGGGAAGAGACGGTAGTAATGTACCGACTCGTCAAAGGTGACGTCCTGGGAGGACAGAACACGGCGCGAGGTGGGGTGGTAAAACTGCCAACCAGGCGCGTCAGGGGGGAAGCTAAGGAAGACGTAGGGAATAGCACGGGGGGACAGCTTGTCCGCAGACAAGTCGCGGACAAACGCCGGAGATCCCCAGACCCAAAACGCAGACGCATCGCCAACCTTCCCCGTCCACCGCACGGTGGGGGAGGTCTCTGGCAAGGAGACCCGGGGCTGAAGGTTGAGCTGATGCACTGCGTACTGAACTGCAAACGGCCACAGAAAATGGGGGGCAGCCGCATGGATCATGGACGTACGAGCGACGTCCATGACCATGCCAATGCGGCGCTCAGCAATCCCATTTTGCTGTGGAGAGGCCAGAAGCGTGAAGGTCTGGCGGATGCCCTGTGCACGACAGAAGGCTCCCAGACGGGCAGAGGAAAACTCCCCGCCTCTGGCAGAGTGCAGACGCAGAACAGGAAAGTCCGAGCCGAAACTCTCTCTGAGCTGGAGACGAGCTGCGCGGATCCAGTCGATCAACACCTCAGTGACGTAACCCTTGCTGCGCAAGGGGAAGACTGTTGTGTAACGCAAGTAGTCGTCAACCACCAAAAGGAAGTAACGCTCATGCCCCTATCCACAGACGCGGGCGCGGCCCCACACGTCCATGTGGAGAGTCTGCAGCGGAGCCTATGTCGGAGGAAACTCGGAGGAGTGAGGGGCGGCGCGCTGTTGCCCCTCGACGCAGGGGACGCAAGTAGGGGCAGGCCCCGGAGGTAGGGGAGGGAGAGACCGGGGGAGACCAGAGACAAGGACACGGGAGGCCATGCCTCGGAGACGAGGCAGGGAGGGGTGACCAAGGCGGTGGTGCGAAAGGAGAGTCTGGTGGGACAGGAGACAACACGAGCAGGGAGCAGACTCAGGACCAGACCTGGACGCTGCAGCAAACACTTGACTCGACGCAGCTACCTGGCCAGACTCAGCAGCCGGAGGAGACTCAGTAGTAAGGGTGTTCAGGCTCGACCCTGGCCGACGGGTGAACGTGGCCAAGTGTCGGCCTGTCCGAGAACACGTGCAGTGGGTCACCTGCTGACTCGCAGGAGTGAACTGGTCAACCCCCTTATCCTGTAGGTCCGCTCCACTCACCAAGTTCGTAGAGAACGAGGGGAGGTAGAGACCTGACAGGGTGCCCGAGGGGGCTGCCGGGCACGGTAAGACAGTGGAGAAGCTAGCAAGGACAGGACCCTCAGAGGGGTCCGCCAAGGAGACTGCAACCGGCCGACTAAGCGGCGTAAGCGTGGTGCGGTCTCGAAAGAAGGAGCGGGAAGCACCCGAGTCAAGGGTGAAGGTGTGTAAGGCCTGAGCCAACGTAGTACCTGAGAGAGCAGACTCACCAGCACCTGGGGCAGCAGACGCACTAGCACCTAGGGCAGCAGGCGCACTAGCACCTAGAGCAGCAGCCTCACCAGCACCTAGAGCAGTAGCCTCAATGCCCAGGCCAGGCGGTACACACAGGTAACAGTCACCCTCCGCACTAGTAGACACAGGATACATGGCAGCAAGGATAGCATCATAGTCAAGATCAAAGATGGCAACCCCCACCCTAGACAGATCTCCCCAGCGAGGGATCTCTGACGCCTCAGGGAACTGGTGACGCCACGCGTCCGTCAGGCGGCCGAAGCAGCGCTGGGTGGAGTGCGGGCCCCCGCACTGCTCACCAGCGTGGTCGCCGGTACGGAGGACGTAAGTGCAAGGACCAGTACCCCCACCGCGCTGACGCGCAGCGTACCACTCACGAAGCTGCTGAGGGGACAAGGTCTCACGACTGCGCTGCTGCTGCTGGCCCGGACCACCACCGGACCCACTCCTCTACGCAGAGTCGCGACCAGCTCCAACGCTGCCGCTGCCGCCGCCTTCGCCGCCTCCGCCACCTCCGCCGCCTCCGCCACCTCCGCCGCCTCCGCTCCCTCCGCCACCACCGCCGCCTCCTCAACCTCCACTGCTGCCACCGCCGCCGCCACCCCCGCCACCACTCCCACCACCACCCCCACTCCCTCCACTGCCTCCACCACCACCTCCACCGCCCCCGCTAGCCCCTCCAGCTCCATTGCCCCCCTTGCCCTTGCCGGTGCGGCGTCTCCCGCTAGGGGCAGACGCAGCGCCGACCGACTCGAAACCAACGAGGTCGGCCGTAGCAGCAGAAGCAATAGAGGGCAAGAGGGGGGAGGGGGAACACCCCTCAAAGACGGGGGTGCGAGGGTCACCACGAGAGGCTCCTACAACGACTATGCTCTTCTCTGCTGCTAGGAGGCGCTCCTCGAGGAGGTCAACGGTGAGTGTGGTGGGGCAAACTGAGAGGAAGTGGTCCTTGACTAAGCGAAGAGAGTCAGGGAGCCGGGTGACTATGTAGTAGAGGGTGATGTACATGGGGGTGGGGTTCTTGGTGCAGAACTCAGTAGGAAGCGCTGCGTGGTAGCGAGTGTCCCTAGTGCGGAGGTGCGTAATGAGGTCAGCGACAGTGGGAAAGGCAGCAAGGTCAGGGAAGAGGTACGGTAGCATGAGGCGGCTCAGTGCAGCAGTGGCAGGGGAAGAATAGTGTGCAACTATAGCGTCGTACAAGGTCTGAGCACTCTTGTACTGGCTAGAGTGCGCACGCTCAGTGGTCGGTAAGTGGCGACGCACAGCAAGACGGGCAGCAGCATCGGGTGTGGCCCACTGTGAGCGAGCAGTGCTGACAGCAGTAGCAGGCGGGGCAGGGGAGGCACCAGAGTTGAGGTCGAACAGGGAGAGGCCGTCCGCCCTATCGCACTGGAGGAACAGCTGGAGGTTATCGACCGAGACCTCAAAATCAACAGCACGACCCTCAGTATCAAAGGTAAGAACACTAGGGGCAGCCATGACTGCAGTGGCCTAGCAAGGAGTGAGCTCACCAGTCTGAGTAAGTAGGGCAGGGGCGCGCCGGTAGGACGAGGAGCGGCTTGACAGCAGGGCGGCTCGGCTGCTCACTAGCTCGGCTGCTGGGCGGCTCGGCTGTCGAGCGGCTCGGCGGTTCGGCTGCTGGGCGGCTCGGCGGCTCGGCTGCTCGACGGCTTGGTGGCTCGGCTGCTGGGCGGCTCGGCTGCTGGGCGGCTCGGCGGCTCGGCTGCTGGGCGGCTTGGCGGCTCGGCGGCTCGGCTGCTGGGCGGCTCGGCGGCTTGGCTGCTGGGCGGCTCGGCGGCTCTGCTGCTGGGCTGCTCGGTAGGGGCGGCGTTGGGGCCGCTAGGGGCGGCGACGGGGCCGCTTAGGGAGGGTAGCGGCGATGGGGCCGTGTAGTGGCGGCAACAGGGCCGCTTAGAGGCGGCGACAGGGCTGCGTAGGGGCGGCAACGGGGCCGCTTAGGGGCGGCGACGGGGCCGCTTAGGGGCGACGACGAGGCCGCTTAGGGTGAGAGGCGGCGACGAGGCCGGTAGGGGCGGCATTGGGGCCGCTAGGGGCGGCGACGGGGCCGCGTATGGGCGGAGACGGGGCCGCGTAATGTGAGAGGCGGCGACGGGGCCGATAGGGGCGGTGACGTGGCCGCTAGGGGCGGCGACGAGGCCGCGTAGGGGCGGCGACGGGGCCGCGTAGGGTGAGAGGCGACGACGGGGCCGCTAGGGGCGGTGACGGGGCCGCTAAGGGCGGCGACGGGGCCGCGGAGGGGCGGCGACGGGGCCGCGTAGGGGCGGCGACGGGGCCGCGTAGGGGCGGCGACGGGTCCGCGTAGGGTGAGAGGCGGCTACGGGGCTGCTAGGGGCGGCGACGGGGCCGCTAAGGGCGGCGACGGGGCCGCGTAGGGGTGGTAACGGGGCCGCGTGAGGGGCGGCGACGAGGCCGCTAGGGGCCACTAGGGGCCTGGAAAGGGCGGCAAAAAGGCGTGCCTCAGGCAGGAGCGACTGGCGCTCCGGTCAGAAAGGAAATTTTCAGTGGTGGGCCCAAGGAAGCGTTCCCACTAGGGAACCTGCTCTGTACCATGTGAAGAATGAGGAATGAATGAACTAGCAAGCAGGTGGGTACAAGTAGGAAAACCTAGAAGTGTTGTACCCCATATAGTCTACCCCACTACAGCCTACACAGACTATAGTATAAGAGTTTGACACCTATATTTCTACATTCATTTTATCTAACATTTGTTGCTTATCTTTTCTTCGCACATACTCGCAAGCTCGTATCATGCGTTTGCGGATGTACGAACACATTGTCCATCATTGTTTTGCAATCGCGTACGTTTATTGTCATTTTAACACACCCTTCAACATTTATTACAGGTGTCGTCCTTTATTGTCAAGCTGAAAATTCGCAAGGTGGAGTCGAGTTTCATGCTGCGAGCTGTCTGTGAGGTTAGCGATGCGAGCGGAACGTACGGCCTGACATCAATGTGCACCTTCGCGGACCGCATCATGAAGTTGGTGGAAGAGGAGCAGAAGCTGACCAAGACTTCCCAGACGGAGACACCTGTCGTCTTGTGGATCACTGAGGTCTTCAAGGATGACACGCAGATCATGACAACCAAAAGGTGCGATACATTTCTGCTCTTTAAAGTATAAAGCATTTGTACTCTGTACGTCTTTGAAATCCGGTATCATATGATATTTGCATTCTAATTTAATATGCATCTTTTTTATGTTATCCTATCACATATCCAATATATATATGTTAGGTCGAGGATCATCAAGGTTATAGACAGCACTGTCACTGCTCGCATCACCCCGACTGTCAACCCTCAGACAGTGCTGCCCTTGCACAGGACCCCTGTCGACCTCAGTATTATCACAGCGTAAGTTAATGTGCTGAATTTTATTAGCTTGTTGAGTATCGCATAATATTGTTACCATTTCTTGATTTTTTGCTTTTCTTGAGTTCACATTCATTTTAATACTTATAAAGTCTCTCATACATCACCCATCATTCACATGTTTCTAATTACCATGTCAGAACATTATAGCTCATGCATATTGTGTAGGCTATACTGGGGTAGCCCATAAGGGGTACAACCCAATTAGGGTTAGTACTTGTACCCAATTCATTCATAGTTCATTCATTCTCGTTTCTTCTCATGGTATCGAGCAGGTTCCCTAACGGGAACGATTCCTAGGGCCCACCACTACGATTTTTTTTTCCTGCCCGGAGCGCGCTCCGCTTAGGCCCGAGTCGCGCCTCGTTTGGTTTCCTTACTGTCGCGCCCTCGCTAGGCCCCTCACGGCCCCGTCGCGTCGCCCTTAGCGGCCCCTCGCGGCCTCGTCGCGCTGCCCTAGCGGTCGCGTCGCGCCGCCCTAACGATCGCGTCGCGCCGCCCTAGCCGCCCTCACGGCCCCCTAGCGGCCTCTTGCGGCCCCGATCCGCCGCCCTTGCGGCCCCGATCCGCCACCCTTCGCGGCCCGTCGCCGCTCTCCCCCTGCGGCCCCCTCGCCGCCCTTTCACCAGCGGCCCCGTTGCCGCCCTTGCACGGCCCTGCCGCCGCCCTCCCTGCGGCTCTGTCGCCGCCCTCTTCAGCGGCCCGTCGCCGCCCTTCTCAGCGGCCCCGCCGTCTCCTTTTAGCGGCCCCACCACTACCCCTGCAGCGGCCTCGTCGCCGCCCTTTCAGCGGCCCCGCCGCCTCCTCTCGCCAGCCCCGCCGCCTCCTCTCCGCGGCCCCGCCGCCTCCTCTCGGCGGCCCCGCCGCCTCCTCTCCGCGCCCCCGCCGCCTTCTCTCGGCGGCCTAGCCGCCTCCTCTCAGCGGCCCCGGACGCCGCCCTCTCAGCGGCCCTTGCGCCACCTCCTTTGCGGCCCCGCCGAGCCGCCCAGCAGCAGAGCCGCCGAGCTGCCCAGCAGCCGAGCCCCCGAGCCGCCCAGCCGTCGAGCCGCCCAGCAGCCGAGCCGCCCAGCCACCGAGCCGCCCAGCCGCCGAGCCGCCCAGCAGCCAAGCCGCTGAGCCGCCCAGCGCCCGAGCCGCCGAGCCGCCCTGCAGCCGAGCCGCCGAGCCGCCCAGCAGCCGAGCCGCCGAGCCGCCGAGCAGCCGAGCCGCCGAGACGCCCAGCAGCCGAGCCGCCGAGCCGCCCAACAGCCGAGCCGCCAAGCCGCCCAGCTGCCAGGCCGCCTACCGCCCAGGTGCCGAGCCGCCGAGTCGCCCTGCAGCCGAGCCGCCCGAGCCGCCCTGTCTGGTAAGAGCAGCGCCTCTGTCACTGCACTGCCCTCACCCTACTGTTCGTGCTGCTAGTCTACTGCTGTCATGGCTACCCCTAGTGTCTTCGCTTTTGACGCTCAGGGTCGGGCCATTGACTTTGACGTCTAGATAGATGACCTGCAGCTTTTCTTACAGTGTGATAGGGCGGACGGACTCTCTCTCTTTGACCTCACCTCTGGTGCCTCTCCTGCCCCTGCTGCTGATGCTGACGCCACTGTCCGCTCACAGTGGGCCACGCGCGATGCTGCTGCACGTCTTGGTGTGCGTCACCACCTGCCTACCTCTGAGCGTGCGCAATTTGGCCAGTACAAGAGTGCTCAGACCTTGTACGACGCTGTAGTTGCACGCTACTCCTCCTCTGCCACTGCTGCTCTGAGCCGCCTCATGCTACCGTACCTCTTCCCTGACCTTGCTACCTTTCCTACAGTCGCTGACCTCATTACGCACCTCCGCACTAGTGACACTCGCTACCGCGCTGCGCTTCCTGCTGAGTTCTGCGCCAAGAACCCCCCCCCCATGTACATCACTCTCTATTATATAGTCACCCGCCTCCCTGACTCCCTTTGCGTAGTCAGGTACCACTTTCTCTCAGTCTGTCCCACCACTCTCACTGTTGACCTCCTCGAGAAGTCCCTCCTAGCAGCGGAGAAGAGCATAGTCGTTGTAGGAGCCTCTCGTGGTGACCCGCGCACCCCCATCTTTGAGGGGTGTTCCCCCTCCCCCCTTTTGCCCTCTGTTGCCTCTGCTGCTGCGGCCGACCTCGTTGGGCTTGAGTCGGTCGGTGCGGCGTCTACCCCTAGTGGGAGACGCCGCTCTAGCAAGGGCAAGGGGGGCAGGGGCGCTGGAGGAGCTAGCGGGGGCGGTGGAGGCGGCGGTGGAGGCGGCGGAGGGAGTGGGGGTGGCGGTGGGGGTGGTGGCGGGGGTGGAGGTGTCGGTGGCGGCAGTGGAGGCGGAGGCGGCGGCGGTGGCGGTGGGAGTGGAGGTGGTGGAGGTGGCGGAGGTGGAGGAGGCGGTGGCGGAGGAGGAGGAGGTCGTGTCTCTTCGCAGAGGAGTGGCTCCGGTGGTGGTCAGCACCAGCAGCAGCAGCGCAGTCGGGAGACCCTGTCCCCTCAGCAGCTCCGTGAGTGGTACGCTGCACGCCAGCGGGGTGGGGGTACTGGTCCATGCACCTACGTCCTGCGCATCGGCGACCGTGCGGGTGAGTAGTGCGGGGGTGCGCACCCCACCCAGCGCTGCTTTGGCCGCCTGACGGACGCTTGGCGTCACCAGTTTCTTGAGGCCACTGAGATCCCTCGCTGGGGCGAGGTGTCTAGGGCAGGGGTAGCTATCTTTGACCTTGACTTTGATGCTATTCTTGCTGCTATGTATACTGTGTCTATTAGTGAGGAGGGTGACTGTTACCGGTGTTTCCCGCCCGGCCCGGGCATTGAGCCTGCTACTCTAGGTGCTGGTGAGGCTGCTGCTCTTGGTGCTAGCGAGGCTGCTGCTCTAGGTGCTAGTGCGTCTGCTTCCTCTTGTACTCTCAGGTACTGCGTCGGCTTCTGCCTCCCACACCTTCACACTTGACTCAGCGTCTCCAGACCCGGCACCTGCAGGCTCAACAGCTCTAACAGCACCAGAGTCAATAGCTACCTCGACAGGCTCGACTGCGTCTTCCTGGGACACACCTGACGGGGCAGGAACCTGAGGGGGAAGGGGGTCTACCGAGGGAGGACCTGGCGCAAGGAAGAGCGACGGTGGGGGAAGGGGCGCAGTGCGGTAGGGGAAGAGACGGTAGTAAGGTACCGACTCGTCAAAGGTGACGTCCTAGGAGGACAGAACACGGCGCGAGGTGGGGTGGTAAAACTGCCAACCAGGCGCGTCAGGGGGGAAGCTAAGGAAGACGTAGGGAACAGCACGGGGGGACAGCTTGTCCGCAGACAAGTCGCGGACAAACGCCGGAGATCCCCAGACCCAAAACGCAGACGCATCGCCAACCTTCCCCGTCCACCGCAAGGTGGGGGAGGTCTCTAGCAAGGAGACTCGGGGCAGAAGGTTGAGCTGATGCGCTGCGTACTGAACCGCAAACGGCCACAGAAAATGGGGGGCAGCCGCATGGATCATGGACGTACGAGCGACGTCCATGACCATGCCAATGCGGCGCTCAGCAATCCCATTTTGCTGTGGAGAGGCCAGAAGCGTGAAGGTCTGGCGGATGCCCTGTGCACGTCAGAAGGCTCCCAGACGGGCAGAGGAAAACTCCCCGCCTCTGTCAGAGTGCAGACGCAGAACAGGAAAGTCCGAGTCGAAACTCTCCCTGAGCTGGAGACGAGCTGCGCGGATCCAGTCGATCAATACCTCAGTGACGTAACCCTTGCTGCGCAAGGGGAAGACTGTTGTGTAACGCAAGTAGTCGTCAACCACCAAAAGGAAGTAACGCTCGTGCCCCTGTCCACGGACGCGGGCGGGGCCCCACACGTCCATGTGGAGAGTCTGCAGCGGAGCCTATGTCGGAGGAAACTCGGAGGAGTGAGGGGCGGCGCGCTGTTGCCCCTCGACGCAGGGGACGCAGGTAGGGGCAGGCCCCGGAGGTAGGGGAGGGAGAGACCGGGGGAGACCAGAGACAAGGACACGGGAGGCCATGCCTCGGAGACGAGGCAGGGAGGGGTGACCAAGGCAGTGGTGCGAAAGGAGAGTCTGGTGGGACAGGAGACGACACGAGCAGGGAGCAGACTCAGGACCAGACCTGGACGCTGCAGCAAACACCTGACTCGACGCAGCTACCTGGCCAGACTCAGCAGCCGGAGGAGACTCAGTAGTAAGGGTGTTCAAGCTCGACCCTGGCCGACGGGTGAACGTGGCCAAGTGTCGGCCTGTCCGAGCACACGTGCAGTGGGTCACCCGCTGACTTGCACGAGTGAACTGGTCAAGCCCCCTATCCTGTAGGTCCGCTCCACTCACCAAGTTCGCAGAGAACGAGGGGAGGTAGAGACCTGACAGGGTGCCCGAGGGGGCTGCCGGGCACGGTAAGACAGTGGAGAAGCTAGCAAGGACAGGACCCTCAGAGGGGTCCGCCAAGGAGACTGCAACCGGCCGACTAAGCGGCGTAAGCGTGGTGCGGTCTCGAAAGAAGGAGCGGGAAGCACCCGAGTCAAGGGTGAAGGTGTGTAAGGCCTGAGCCAACGTAGTACCTGAGAGAGCAGACTCACCAGCACCTGGGGCAGCAGACGCACTAGCACCTAGGGCAGCAGGCGCACTAGCACCTAGAGCAGCAGCCTCACCAGCACCTAGAGCAGTAGCCTCAATGCCCAGGCCAGGCGGTACACACAGGTAACAGTCACCCTCCGCACTAGTAGACACAGGATACATGGCAGCAAGGATAGCATCATAGTTAAGATCAAAGATGGCAACCCCCACCCTAGACAGATCTCCCCAGCGAGGGATCTCTGACGCCTCAGGGAACTGGTGACGCCACGCGTCCGTCAGGCGGCCGAAGCAGCGCTGGGTGGAGTGCGGGCCCCCGCACTGCTCACCAGCGTGGTCGCCGGTACGGAGGACGCAAGTGCAAGGACCAGTACCCCCACCGCGCTGACGCTCAGCGTACCACTCACGAAGCTGCTGAGGGGACAAGGTCTCACGACTGCGCTGCTGCTGCTGGCCCGGACCACCACCGGACCCACTCCTCTGCGCAGAGTCGCGATCAGCTCCAACGCTGCCGCTGCCGCCGCCTTCGCCGCCTCCGCCACCTCCGCCGCCTCCGCCACCTCCGCCACCTCCGCTCCCTCCGCCACCACCGCCGCCTCCTCAACCTCCACTGCTGCCACCGCCACCGCCACCCCCGCCACCACTCCCACCACCACCCCCACTCCCTCCACTGCCTCCACCACCACCTCCACCGCCCCCGCTAGCCCCTCCAGCTCCCTTGCCCCCCTTGCCCTTGCCGGTGCGGCGTCTCCTGCTAGGGGCAGACGCAGCGCCGACCGACTCGGAGTCGGACTCTCTTCGTGCTGCCAGTCCTATTGTCACGCGTCTCCTTGCTACTGTTGTCACTGACCCTTCCTTTGAGTCCACTGCTGCGTCTGCCCTAGTTGCTGAGCTCGTCGACTTTGCTGCTCGCTGTCGCCTAGACTACGGCGCCAGTCTTGTTGCTGAGTCTGAGTCTGTCTGTCCTCCGTCCGTCAGGGGTGAGTGTGCCCTTAGCACGGACGTCCTTGAGGACAGGCAGGAGGAGTTCCAGTGCTTGGCCGCTGCTTCACCTCATCTCGTGTCCGTACTGCTTACCCCTGAGGGAGACCCGGATGCACTTGACATCCCGACTCCGCGCTCTTACGCGGAGGCGATAGAGGGTCCCTATTCCTCTCAGTGGCAGGCAGCTATGGACGCAGAGATGGCTTCCTGGAAGTCCACAGGCACCTACGTTGACGCTGTTCCCCCTCCTGGGGCGAACATCGTCAGTGGCATGTGGATTTTTAGGGTGAAGCGACCGCCGGGTTCTCCGCCCGTCTTCAAGGCGCGTTACGTGCCTCGTGGCTTCAGTCAGCGGCAGGGAGTTGACTACTTTCAGACCTTCTCTCCCACCCCGAAGATGACCACTCTTCGGGTACTGCTGCACATAGCTGCTCACCGTAACTACGAGCTACACTCTCTTGACTTCAGCACTGCTTTCTTGCAGGACAGCCTCCATGAGGAGATCTGGCTGCGTCGCCCACCTGGTTTTACTGGGTCTTTTCCTCCTGGTACCCAGTGGAGCCTTCGGCGGCCAGTCTACGGTCTCCGCCAGGCACCGCGTGAGTGGCAAGACACACTGAGGACTACACTTGCGGCTCTTGGGTTTGCTCCCTCTACTGCCAACCCGTCGGTACTTCTGCGCACCGACACTTCTTTGCCGCCGTTCTACATCCTCGTGTACGTCGACGACTTGGTCTTTGCCACAGCTGACACTGCTAGACTCACCCACGTGAAGTCCGAGCTGCAGAAGAGACACACGTGCACAGACCTGGGTGAACTGCGCTGCTACCTTTGCTTGCAGATCACTCGGGACAAAGCACGCCGCACCATTACCCTGACTCAGTCACACATGGTGCAGCAGGTCCTTCAGCGCTTCGACTTCACGTACTCCTCGCCTCAGGCCACTCCTCTGCCTACTCACCACTTGCTCTCAGCTCTGCCTTTGGATGAGTCCGTAGAGTCGAGTGGCCCGTACCCAGAGCTTGTTGGCTGCCTCATGTACCTGATGACCTGCACACAACCTGACCTTGCATACCCTCTTAGCATTCTTGCACGCTATGTTGCTCCTGGGAGACACAGATCGGAGCACATGGCTGCAGCGAAGAGGGTGTTGCGCTACTTGTGCAGTACGTCGGGCAATGGGCTTGTGCTTGGAGGGCAGAGTCCAGTGGTCCTTACTGGGTACACAGACGCTTCTTGGGCTGACGACCAGGCTACGCAGCGGTCGTCACAGGGTTACACCTTCAGCCTTGGTTCCGGCTCTGTTTCGTGGCGGTCTACCCGCTCGTCTTCTGTTCTCGGCTCCAGTTGTGAGGCTGAGATCTACGCAGGAGCCATGGCTGCACAGGAGCTTCGCTTGCTCACCTACCTGCTTACTGACCTCAAAGAGCCGCCTCGTTCTCCTCCAGTGCTGTACGTAGACAACAAGGCCATGCTGGCCTTGCGTCCGGAGCAGCGACTGGAGCACAGAGCGAAGCATATTGCACTCCGCTACTTTCTTGCTCGTGAGCTGCAGCAGCGTGGTCAGCTGCGTCTTGCGTACGTGGCCTCTGAGGCCAACACTGCTGATATCTTCACCAAGGCGCTTGCGCCTTGTGACCATCAGCACTTCTGTACTCAGCTGGGCCTTATGCCTACCTTGCCTCACTTGCTCACCTCTTAACCTTGCTTGTACTATTACATATATATATACCTGCTCTTGCATGTCTAGCCTTTTTATATATATGTACTCCTGCATGTGAACTGGCCTTGTGGCCTTGAACTTGTGCTCGGAATGTGTGATGACTTTGTGATCCACCCTGAGCTTGCTTTGATTTGCTTTGCTTGACTGGTCTTGTGACCCCTTGTTCTCCCCCACTTTGCCTATGGTGGTGTGTCAGAACATTATAGCTCATGCATATTGTGTAGGCTATAGTGGGGTAGCCCATAATGGGTACAACCCAATTAGGGTTAGTACTTGTACGCAATTCATTCATAGTTCATTCATTCTCATTTCTTCT